ATTTTGTCATTAATCACTTACCCCCATGTCGTTCCAAACCCGTAAAAGCTTTGTTCGTCTTCGGAACACAATTTAAGATATTTTGGATGAAAATCGGGAGGCTTGTGACTGTCCGATTGACTGCCAAGTAAATTACACTGTCAAGGTCCGGAAAAGTATGAAAAGCATCGTCAGAATAGTCCATCTGCCATCAGTGGTTCAACCGTAACGTTATGAAGCGACGAGAATACTTTTTGTACGCGAAGAAAACAAAAATAACGACTTTATTCAACAATTCATCTCCTCTGTGTCTCTCCACAACACCGTAGTGCCATTTTGGAGAATATCCACTGGACGCAAGCAGCGTACGCTATTCTGTGTCAGCCGCGACACAAGGATATGTTTTCTACGTGTATTTACGCTTTGATTTGAACGAAAACAGCGCATCCTTGCAGCGCGGCTGACACAGAAGAGCGTACGCTGCTTGCGTTCAGCGGATATTCTCCAAAATGGCGCTACGGTGATGCGGAGAGACACAGAGGAGACGAATTGTTGAATAAAGTTCTTGTTTTTTTCTTCGCGTACAAAAAGTATTCTCGTCGCTTCATAACGTTACTGTTGAACCACTGATGGCAGATGGACTATTCTGACGATACTTTTCATACTTTTCTGGGCCTTGACAGTGTAATTTACTTGGCAGTCAATGGGACAGTCACAAGCCTCCCGGTTTTCATCCAAAATATCATAAATTGTGTTTCAAAGATGAACGAAGCTTTTACGGGTTTGGAATGACATGGGGGTAAGTGATTAATGACAAAATATTCATTTTGGGGTGGAGTATCCCTTTAAGCAGCTACAAATTAGATGCAGCCACAAACTGTTTTAAAATAGCAATTTCATTCAAAATCTTCTTATCAGCCCCTCTTCTCTAGACAAGATTAACAGACAGACCATCTGGCATCACCTGGCAGCTGCATTTCTAACATGTTTGACAAGACACAGCAATGCTGAAATCACAAGCTTCCATCTCTTTTCCTTCTTTTCATCTTACTTTGGCTGAAGGTATTAATTAAGATAGGTTTTCTCCATTTGAGTTGATAGACCATAAGAACCTGGGAGTGGCATCAGTTATGTCAACTGAAATGGCCACAACTTTATTTTTTCACAGACAGACAGATAGAACACTAGACAGACAGACAGACAGACAGATAGATAGATAGATAGATAGATAGATAGATAGATAGATAAAAAACTCATTCTCACAATCATAAATGAATTCAATAAGAATTTATTTCTTTATTAATCTGTTTAATTGATTTCATTTCTATAATTAGCCCACCCGAAAAATATAACTTCCGATTTATTCAAAAAGAAATGAAAGTCTTTAACAGTATTGAATAAACTAAAGAATGATGAAATGATAACAGCAGTCATTATATTACAATAATAATCATAATTCAATAACCAGAATATCAACATTCATAACAAATCCAAAAACATCGGCAATACACTCTGACATACCACTCTTGCTATTAATATAATATATACAAAAAGAAATAAAATTCCCAAGTGTCTGCCCTTTTCAAAAATGGAAATTTAGGGGCGGGGCTTATGGCTTGTCAAGAAAGATGACTGTGATTGGCTTATGGCTGACAGAGACCAACTGAAGTTTATTAGAAAGAGGCACATCATGGGAACTCCATTAATTTACAGGGGGCAAAGAAGCGATTACTTGCATGGAAGAGTTGCTAGGCAAGTAATGAGGGAATAAAGCATCAGGCCATACAAAAGATCAGCAGAGTAAAATGGGGATTTTCTACAGCGATCCAAAATAACCTCATCTGACACACGGCACCGATTGAAATCAAAAGCAAGTGAAGATGCAAAAGCTGCAAAGATTAGCAGGTGACTCATGTCTGGAAAAGCTGATATATGCAAACATATGGTAGGTATTAAGCCTATATATTTATGTACAAGCATTGCTTTGTCACCCAGAATCTGTTACAAAACACCTCAATCAGTGAGAAAATGAGTGCAAGCTTCAGACTGGCAAAATGCGTGTCGGACTCATGGCGATGCATTGTAGGTTTCAGACTGCATACAATCAGCCTGAGCGAAAAGTGCTTCGAATAACTCCGCCGACGAGTCGCCTACGCGAGTTTTCATTCCCACAAAGTTCTGTTATGCTTTTTCTTTTTCCACATATCGAGAAAAAGAGAAATCGGTGTAAAAGGACACATTCTGTACACTGCATATACAAACATATTTATGTACAAAATACATGTATATATATATATATA